GGCCGCCCATTTGACGTCGTGACTGATCACCACGCATTGTGTTGGTTGTCGTCATTAAAAGACCCATCTGGTCGCCTAGCTCGCTGGGCACTACGTCCCCAAGATTACGATATTCGTGTAATTTATCGGTCAGGCCGCAAGCATTCGGACGCCGACGCTCGTTCTCGCTCGCCACTTTCCCACGATTATGTTGCAGCATCTGTTTCCAGCTGCGAATGTTGTTCACTTGAACAGGCCGACATGTCCGCTGAGCAACGCCAGGATCCATGGATAGCGTCTCTCTTAGAGTACCTGTCTCAGACGTCTCCACGTACAGACAACCGTTTACTTCGACGAACTGCTCGCCATTTAGCATTCGTGACGGTCTTCTGTGCCGGCGAAACTACCTATCTGATGGCCGCAAATGGTTGCTGGTAATAACTCGACACCTACGTTTTGACATCTGTGCCTCCTTCCACGCGGATCCGCAATGCGCCCACGCAGGTGTAGTAGAGACGTATGCTCGCCTACGAATTCGATATTACTGGCGTGGAATGTACCGCTTTTTTACTCAGTACGTCCGTTCATGTTCCTTGTGCCAACGCGGAAGAGCTCCCCTCGCACAACCACAGGGCCACTCCAGCCACTGCCTTGTCCTTCTCGGCCTTTCAGCCGCATCGGAATCGACTTGTACGGTCCCCTACCATACACACCAAATGAAAACCGCTGGGTCATCGTAGCCGTGGACCACCTTACGCGCTACGCCGAAACTTCGGCGCTTCCCGAGGCCACTGCGCGTGAAGTCGGCCTGTTCATTCTGCACAACCTCGTCCTTCTGCATGGTGCACCCCGCGAGCTTCTCAGTGACCGTGGGCGTTCCTTCTTGTCGGAAGCCGTAGAAGCCCTCCTACGCGAAAGCAACATCGTGCACCGAACAACGACCACATACCACCCCCAAACCAACGGGATGACCGAGCAATTTAATCGCACGCTGGGTGACATGCTCTCCATGTATGTTTCTGATAACCATATGAACTGGGACCGCATACTGCCATTCGTTACTTACGCTTACAATAGCGCAATTCAATCGACAACTGGATTCTCCCCTTTCTTCCTTCTTTATGGTCGGGAACCTTCATCGTTCTTGGACACTATCCTTCTGTACCGCCCAGACCCTTTAGAATCGACAACTTTGGCCGAAGCCACCACACATGACGAAGAATGTCGGCAGCTAGCACGTTCGCTAACTACGCACGATCAGGATCGCCAGAAGCACTCGCATGACCGATGCTCATCCCCTTCGTCATACGCGCCTGGGGCAATCGCGTGGCTCCGCGTGCCATCGTCTGCCCCAGGCTTTTCCTCAAAGTTCATACCCAAGTATGACGGTCCGTACCAGATCCTGCGCCAGACTTCACCAGTCAACTACATAGTTGAACCTATTCAGCCACCTACAGATCAGCGGCGCCGCGGGCGCGAGACTGTGCACGTCGAGCGTCTAAAACCTCACTACGACCCACCAGTCCTGTCTGTGCCATAGGTCGCCAGGATGGCTCCTTTCGCACTGGGGAGTCAATGTAGCGACAAATACGGGCTCTAAAAACGACGAAGAAGACGTTTGTTGTGGCGGAGGCTCGTTCTGCTGCAGCTGCTGCTGAAACCGCTGCTTGCTTTCTCGGTGCTGTTACGCCCAATAAACGGTTGCTCCACCCGGCGTGCGTCCAACAGTATTCTTATACTTTGTTTTGTTAGTTCAGATCGGGTATATTTTTTATTTCACTACAACAAAATTTTTGCTCCAACGAAAGTTTTTCCGCGCCTTTTCAGTTTCGTTGTAGCAGGATTTGACTGCATATATATAAAAATAGAGGCCCCAAGAGCTTACCTGTAGCCGATCATCACCTACAATCATTTCTCCCTGACAGAACTAATGAATAATAACAATATTCCAACTTTAGAATCCTGAAGGAAACTAGCTAGACTTAAATTTCTTTTTCACCTATCTAAGAAAAACGCTATCATAGACCTTTCGCACGTCCTCACTCTGTTATCTTCACGTCCTACTAGAGGATACCATTCTTACAAATTCACACCTGCCTTTGCGCACACTAGCAACCTGTCTGATTTATTTTTTCTGTCGTTGTTGTTGTTTTCTTTGCTTTTTCTTCTTTCTCTACACCTGTACATCTATTAATTTGTCACTATCATTATCGTTGTACCACCTCCCACTCCTGCTTGGGCTATTTTATGGCCTGCAGTACTTTATAAATAAATTAATAAATAAATAGGTGCATTCAAGAATGACAACTAATTCCGCACACATGCCACAACGATATAATTTATTTGCGTAAAAAAATGATAATCTTGGCTTGTTTCTTTGTTTTTAATATGTTAAAGACGCTAATCTCGATTTTATAAAGGCTGTCCGGGTGCGACAGCCCGATTACTTTCATGTGGCCGATACAACGGCAAATGATGCCGAATGCTGCCGCCACTTCAGCGGCGGAGTACGAACGTGTAGCCAGCGCCTCGTCCGAACTATCCTCTTGTCACATGAGCTATCGGCCTGGACTGCAAAATTGCAGTCCACTTCCACGAAGTCGTCCGCAGACACTTCGTGTGGAACTGCATCCGGGAGGCTGGACGACAACTTGTGGAACTCGTGGTCTATGCGTTCGTCGTCATCTTCACCGGTTTCCACAAGTTCCGTCGTCTCGAAGCCTGCCTTGCAGAATAAGTTGACCACTGTGTACGTCTTCATGTCTCACCAGGCATGGAATTTCTTCGCGGGAGAAACTTCGCAGAGATTTCCGGCCACTTTTCCGTCATCCACAGCTAGATGTCTTGGCTGCTGACAGCTTCACTTTCACTAGAATTGATTTTACCTACGATATTGTAGCGCTGCCTAAATTGGTGAAGCCACCCGGTGTTGTCGGCGAAGTTTTTTCACCGAATTCAGCGGCAAACCATTTGACCTTGGCGATCAGCATCGGGCCATCCACTGGAATGCTCTTCGCGCGTCTTTCATGAAACCTGGCATAGATTGTCTTTTCTACATTCCCATGGGCAGAAGCGCACACACGACAGGCTTCCAATGTTCGCTGCTCCGCCACCTTTGCCTTGATAACTGCCCTGCTTTTCAGCAAGGTACTCAAGTGCTCCGTGATAACCAGAAGTTGTCTGCGACGGGCAAACATTTCTCACCCGCCTCAACAAGCTGAATAGCCTTCAGCTTCATGGCAAAGTCAAGGGTTTTGCACTTCTTGACGCTGGCCGTAGCTACAGGAGAAGACGCCAATTCAAGAAGTTCGCAGCAGATTTGCACACCACGCACGGAAAACAGAAATGCCCACATGCTGTGGTACGTAGGCTCCACTTGGTCGGCTGCTTGCTTCGGGTAGTAACTGCACCGTGCAGCTGACCAAGTGCCGACGTAACGAGCAGCGCACCTCGGGTCGACCCTTTTCGAATGTCTGGGGGCCAGGGAAGTTGGCTTCCAACTACCGTATTAACTTGCATAATTTGCGCACTTTTTCTCACGATTTTGGGGTTCTGAGAAGGGGGTGTGCAAGTTACGTGGGGATTTCGGGAACGCATACGAAATAATGTGCAATAGTCCTAACACGCGCAATACATACACTAAAAATGATAAATTAAAGTACAAACGAAGTGTACTTGTTAATACAACATAATTCGCACGTATTTTAATCAGTAAGATCTGGTCACGCGCGGTGCAGTCGAAATCACTGATCGAAAGTTCCGATTGAGAATCATCGTCGCGGCTGCTGTCACCACCCTCCCAAAGCGCATCGTCCTCGGTTCGATCGAGTGCATTTGAATGCCCCTTGAAGCTCTTCTCGGCAATGCTGGGAGAAACTATGTCCGATAACACGGCGATACCGAAGGACCTAAGCGTTCATATATAATTGAAAAGTCCTTCTCCAACGGCACAAGACTTGTATTAGATAATGCGCACTTGATTTCACCCGTACCGATCGCGCCGACCGTTCACGCTGAAGTGCATGGCAGTGGCACGGTTTCTTTCAGCAAACTTCACAACAGCGAGCTTGAATTTTGTCTTATATATATAATTACCATAGGCCTTCGCAAGAGAACAATAAAAACGCGACGATTGGATGGTGATACCCAAACTTTGGAAATCAACCAAGTGTGCGTTGCAGGGCGGACGCAGGAAACGGGGGGAACAGTTGGCGCAACAGACGATCGCATGCCTCCTGTGCTTAAAGGTTTCCGTGTCATGATGCGAGGGTACGTTCTCATGGTATAGATTCTAGAGAAAGGGGGAGGGAGGCAAACGCTCGAGCTGTTCTGGCGGGTACGGTGTTCTATTGGGACTCTAGTTCAGGGGAAGTCCTCAGAAACAGGGGCTTAGCACTCGCAGCGCGTTTGATTGCCACGCGCCCGTTCAAGGCATTCAAAGGTTCAAAGTCTCTTCGTGCATGAGCCGGCGTCGGGGAGCATAAAATATGCGAGTAAATGTTTTTTCGTCGAGCAGGGAAAATATTAGGAATGCGGAAAATATGCGTGGGCACAAATTATGCAAGTAAATACTATACATCCTAGCACTCCGTCAATTATCAGCAGTTGGTCAAGGTTACTTGGGTAGGCCTCAACGATCTCAGGCATGTACCTTTGCCTTTCGTTTATATGTGTGTTTTTTCTGAAAATAAACTTCAGTTGTTAGTCTGCGCTTGTATGGGCTCTCTTCCTTCCTGTCCATTATTTTCTTTTTTTTTTCCGGGAAATGCTATCCACTATGGATTACCAACTTGCCCAACGCTTTGTTCTTCTACGCTTTTGTCTCCCTTTTTTACCAAATGTATATATTCTTTGGTGTAGGTATCTTTTGGTGTTTTTTCACGAAATTCTGTTATGGCGCCGTCCTGTGTCGTCCGTTCCTCCCATTTCTTGTTTTTCAGGCTCTTTATTTCTTATAATGCGCGTGCACTATATAGGCGAGAAAAGTTGTCTGTTCGATACTTCTTCGCATGTACCCCAAGGTTGGCCGGCTGATGCTTAAGTCTTCGGGAGACACTAACTGCAAGCGTGTCTCACTGGAGCTTGGCGGGAAGAGTCCCCTGATTGTCTTCCCAGATGCTGACCGTATGTGCTCTCTTCACTCATTTGATGCCTCAATTGCAGAACTTTTTCTTTCGTTCTCTACGACTGCATGCTCTAGTTTTACAATTAAAAAAATCAAAAGGTCACTAGACAGACTTGCTTGCCTTGCTCTGTATGGTTTTTTGTTGTTTTTACTCTTATAAAACAAATCGACGAGCCGTACGCGTTGCTATGCTTTCGTTTTCTCTAATTGCTTATTCTTTAAGTAGATGTTAGTGCTTCTGTGTAGCACTGGCTACCCCTTTCATGCAAAACACAATTCAAGGAAATTGCTGCAACAGGAAAAAATGTGCAAAAGGGCAACCCAAGGCTTGGAATGCGATGCAAAGCATGTGCCTTTGTTGAAACTGTCGGCTGTCTTTTGCAATGGCGCGAGGTACACGCGCTTCTCCAGTCTCATCATGGTTGTGTGCATGCACCTGGCGTCACAGCACAACATGCACTAAGTGTTGTTCGCTCGATACACTATAATTTTCATAAATAGATTATGCGTACTTTCGAGATAGAAACAAACACACATGCTTGTTTTGACTGTTGTAAAACAAAAATAAGTACTTACATGATAAAGCCAAATGTGCAGTACAACTTCACAGTAATGTGCAATACTCTTGTGGTTTAAAACGTCCAGCTCATGTATGAGGGTGGTCCACACACGGATTGCACGATGTGGAAATTGAGGCCGGTCCGCTGCCTTTGCGCGGGCTTTGCCGCCGATTTCTTCGTTCTCATGTCCCGACATGTCTCCCCTCTTCTGCTGTCTGCCGCGCTGGGGGAGCGGAGTGACGTTTAACCCCATCACCCGGTAGCGGATGTTGACTATGGCGCCGCGCGCGGAGTCTCCCGGGAGGGTTTCGCGCGCTGCGTCAGGAGCGGGCAGACAGACCCAGGCCCTGGAAACTCTCAAGTGCAAGTGCTCACCTGTAGGGGGCGAAAAAATCAACCGCGGCGCGTTTCTGCTTCAAACACCCAGAGTGGATTTACTAACCTCTCTCGCCACTCGCGCTGTTGCACTTTCTTGTAGAGGCGCCTTCATCGGGGCCAAGTTTTAATTTTAAAATGATCAAATACTACATGTTTGCGTACCGCTACACATAAAAAACAACTTGTTCTTCTAGCAAGTAGTTTTTCTTAAACATGTGCTGCGTCATCAATTTTTTGTAATAGTTTTTGCTCCAGTTGGCTCGAAGTCAGTAGCAGCCTATCGACATCATTATCCTCATTTCAAAGTTTGCGGCGGCCAACGGTTGCGACGGCAGGTAACGGCTCGCGGTACGTTCGGATGCGTCTCGGACTGTTTCGTTTCACTGTTAATATTTCGAGCCTCTGCCGACCGACACATTCTTTCTCGTTCTGTTTATCTTGACTCGTTCAAATGCTTTCGCGAAGGGAATTCAAGTGACTTTCGGGGAACGAAGCGACCGTTGAAGCTTTCATCGGATGAACATCCGTTGCAAGCCCGAGCCGGTGAGTAGAAACCACTTCAGTTTTTTAAGGATGGTTGCTTGCGGGGCTAGTTGGTTCATTTCAACATATGTAGTTTTTTTTGCCAATGACTGCGTAGACGTCACACGGTGGCAGTGCATTGCAGTATTAAATATTAAAATTGTTGAACGTCTCAATCTGCAACTGAAAAAACGTGCGTTACTTGCGGCGTGGCTTCACGTGGGAACGAGTCGCTGACTCAATAGTTATTTCTGAAATTCTATCACCAGGTAACACCAACCAGGCCGTTGCGGTAAAAGAAGGCAAATAAATTACTGTCGCCTCGCATGTGTCTTCTTAGCTAGCCCATATATTAGTGCAAAAACCTACTAGTTAATAGTTTACTGCAGTCGCGTTTGAGAAACATCACATAATTATGGGTCTGGTTTTGCTATAGTGTGACAAAGGAAGCGTCACATAAATGAAAAATACTTCTTTTTCTGCCACAGCCTCCTGGCTCACCTGACATGGAAGCAGCTGTGTACAATGGGCAAGGAACCTGCTACATGACATGCCTTGTGAAGAAGCAGCCCTGAGTGATACACATGTTATGAGGTACCACTACGTATATGTATAAAATACTGCTGTTTACTAACTAACTAAGTTTATTTGTTTATTGTAGAAAATTTCATGCGTTGATTTTGCATTGATTTCATGCATTGATATATGGTGATGTTACTTGTTTTTCTAGACTGCCATGCAATAACAGGATGACTACCCCCGAATGTCCACTCTGCAAGCACGTTGAAACATCTGAATGTCCACTACAACAGGTCATATCTAACCTCTTACATGTAATGCAGTATTTGTGAATGTTTTACCGCGCATATCGTGGAGAGGTGCTTTAGTTTGGCTACAAGCATTGCCTGACTACCGTGACATGGAATCTACACTTCAATAATGTTGAAACTGTAACACTATTAGTTAGATTGTGTGGCACTGCTGAGCTCGACAACACACTGTTTGATCCCAGCCACTGTGGCCATATTTCGATGGGAGTGAAACGCTAAGACGCTTGTGTGCTTAAGGATTTGTTCGATTCGCCTGCACCACATGATCCATTTTACAAAGTGCTGCACCTCGTCATTCGTTTCAGTGGCACAGCAATGGCATCTTCTAAATCGTGCCATTCATTTCAAAAAGCGCAGGAGAGGTACAGCACCAAAACTAGTTCATGATTTTTCTGTACCTTCTGCTCTGATGGCGCTGGTTTGGTGCAACCGCACGCCCAGCTTAACAAACAACATAGTATTAGACATAGGTACTGATCCCGCCTCTACAAATGCGGCGTGTTTTGCCAAAATGTTTGCACCTCATTAAATTAGGCAATTAAAAATAAGGATTCCACCTTGTCGGCACCTTGTCATTCACTTGTGATGCCACATTGCTGAACTCGTGTTGCACAAGTTCTGAACTTCTCGTGCACAGCTGTGAACCAGTTTCAATTGTGCAGGTGAACTAAACTGACCCTTAAAAGATGGAAGCTTGAAAATATGAAAAACCTATTAACATAAGGTGTCAAAGCAAATGTTTCGACAAGCAGTCTTGTCTCCTGAGAGGCTACAATGTCATTTGTTTGAACCCATGGAAACAAGAATCAATATAAATTCGCCCACTACTGTACGACTCACAATCACTTCATAGTTGGCATGTGAGTCGTCGGAAATTAATAATTGCACTATGTAATGAACACCCCCACAGTGATGGGCATTAACAGGCTTTCCGACATTCAGTTGTACCTTGTGACAGTTTATGAACAACACCCAGAACTGTATTGTCTTAATTAACTGTGTTTAGCTCATACAAGTTTACAAAAAGATGCACCAAAGCTCATAAGGTTGCACTCAATTGATTTAGCTTTGCACATATGTTCAATGTGATCCTAAAATAATAAATCATAAAGGTTATGGGCAGTTGCAGCACAGCTTCCTCAAAGACGTGAATGCTGTCCTAAAGAGCAAGATTGTGTTCATTGCATATGTTATTGTTTTTGTTTTTTTGGCAGAAAGTCGTTCCAGATTTTTTTGTGCACATCTGCTTCTGTTTAAATTAAGTTGTCATAACTATAGTGTCTACCACTACGAAGTGAAATTCTGTGCATTACGGTCATGAAAAAATATCTAGGAAATCGCACAGGTAGTTGAAACATACATGATCTTCACTTATCTACAGCCACACTGTAAGATAGTACCTATTTCAAGTCTTAACCTCTAAAAGTAGCAGGGAGAAAACAACAGCTTTCAAGCACAAGTATACTGGAAAAGTAATCACAATAACAAGTGTGTAATAAATGGGACCTTTATTGATCCAGTATTCGGACTGATTCACATCATGTACCACTAATTGATTTCAGGAGTTCTTGCTTGCAAGAGAGTACTCAAGTTCTATAGATATGTCTATGCAAGAAAGAGATTGTGCTCAGGGCTGAGCAGATGGTGTGATGTAAGAGCACCAACAAAGATGTACCGACAACAAAATTGTACAATGCATGCCTGAATCTTATGTTTTTTAGAATTGGACCTTTTCGATCTGTAAGCACACACCTCATAAGTGTCCCTTTAGCATACATGTTCACTGCATACTCAGCAGACGGGTCATTACCTGCGACGAAAAATTCTAGCTGTGGTAAATGTGTAACTTAACTCTAACAATAAATGTAGCAAGGCTGAAATATTTTTAGGCCCATCCCTTAAATACACAATACCTATGATATGGGCTCACAGCTAAGAATTAAAACTAGTGCCTACCCTCTCGACACGTCGTGACATTGTAAAATTGTGAAGTACTCAATGTAGCATTGCAGAGCGAGAAAGATTCAGAAATGCACGCATCCGCAACTGCTTATATTAAAAAATTAGCAAAACTACATTGCTTTAACTGCGCGAGCTATCTATCGGCAATGTGCAAGTTTCCGTCCTGATTCCACATCATGCATTCGCTTCAAGATCAACACTACGGGGCAAGCGCCGCATCTGACGGCAGAATCGGACCCTTGTACTGAAGCGACGCTATTAAACTCGAGCGCCGCAACACAATGAGAGCGACGTTCATTCAGTGATATCGATGTTCAGTTATATGGATATGCTTGTTAGCTTTCAAGAGTCTTTACACATGGGTTGAAAACTTTCGATATGTATGAGTGACTTGTTTTGTTCGAACCCGACCGTATACATTGAATGTACCGGCTTGGACACTCGCAATAAACGATGCAAACCTTACTTGATTGACGTTGTTTTTGCCAGTCGAGGCCAGCTAGGTCCCCTGGCGATAATTACAGACGTGAAATGCGATTGAGCAACGCAAAAAAAAAGACAGAGGAAGCGAGCAGCGCGAACCAGCCGCGGCCCCCTCCCCCACCTGCAGCAAAAAAAATGCGTCTGTTTATTGATGATGATAGTACTACCAGCGCCATCTCACCTCGCGGTATTGCAGTTCAGTACGCCACCGCTACGTATTTGCATGTTATTTTGATACAACAGCCCAAATTTCCGTTCTCTAAA